CCCCCCCCCCACCACGACCGCCCAAGCTTCTTCTGCATATGCCATGACTCTGTCTTTATCACGTCACTTGTCCGTTGCATCGTCTCGGGCAGCCTTATTCGACGTATCCGCATATTTCCCTGCAGCGTATGAATATAGTTGCTATCAATGTCTAACCACTTCCCTCGGGCTGTTCACGGTTCCAAGTCTCGGGATCCCAAGTGCGAAATTGATGAATTCATCCGTTGACAAAATCTGTGTGTTGGTTTATGGGCGATGTACATAGAGAGATTCTAAAATGTACCGCGCTGAAGCAGCGTCATAACGGTAGCGGGCTAGGACCTCGTGTATCTTCGCCATGCTTGGTTGTTTCTGTTCGTTCGATGCGTACTCATTGTCATCATTGACAGACCCTGATTCTAAATTCTAAATTCTGAGTCTATTCGATTTTACATGAAGCACCTTTCCGGCAGCGGTATCAATAACCAAAGTGGTACACTTGCCAACTTATATGACCCGGTCTCATTGAATCCGCGGTGCCATGCTGACGCGGGTAAGGTATGTACTACTATAGCCTCACCAAATAATAATGGCCCGTCTCGTCCAATTATTCGTTGAAAAACACATAGGGCATTTGATGAGCGTTCGGGGAAAGGAAAACAGCGCTACCGGTGTTTCTATGGCATCTCTCGGCCTCAATCGCTCAACTTCGATTCTGAAGCTACGGGACCGCGTGCGCGCTGCGGTGTTCATGACCCTCGTGGGTAGGTCTACATATGTCGGGTCTTCATTCCGAAACTCAAGCGGTGCCGCTAATGAAAAATACGCTTCCGGTAACCGGACAGTCTTTTCATTCGCTGCATGCACCTGTGGACTCGTGTATAAAAGCTTGTCCACGGGCCAACAGACATGTGTTCCTTGCGACCCCACCTCATAGAAGGCTCTAGTCAGTGGCGCTCGTCATGGTGCTTGCTTGCTATCTTACCCTTACAGCGCTCTCTGCTCTGGTGCTTGGCAAGCCTTTGGCTCGCAGTTTACAGGTGCACGAATTCCAAGAGACGGTACCAACTGGCTATAAGCTTGTAGGACCCGCCTCTTCTGACAAAGTGCTAAGCCTCCGGATCGGCCTTGTTCAGAACAATGTCAACGGGCTTGTGGATGCACTCTACAATATTAGTGCGCCCACCAGTGTTGACTATGGTAAATATCTTTCTCAGGCTGAGGTAGGTGTCGTTATGTATGCTGCACGATGAGAGCGCTGATAGCATTAGTAGGTGAATGCATATATGGCGCCAACATCCGAAACCGTATCTGCCGTGAATTCCTGGCTTTCCGAGAATGGTCTCAACGCAACTGCTATTTCTTCCGCCGGCGACTGGCTTGCCATCAATGTCCCTGTGAGCATGGCCAACGATCTTTTAGGCGCCAACTTCTCCGTCTACCTCCAAACACGCACCGGGGAGCAGATTGTCAGAACTTTATCCTATTCCATTCCAACCGATTTGAATGGTCACATTGATTTTGTGCACCCGACCATTACGTGCGTATGCGAAGCTTTGCATATCGTCAGGACTAAATGGGTACCTCTCTCAGGTTTGCCGGTGGCTCTCGTTCCTCCCCCGTTGTTCAATATATAGGATCCGCGGATGCCATTCGTAATGCCTCACCTTCCGCCAATGTCACTGCGGCTTGTTACCTCGAGAATACTCCTGTGTCGGACCCATGGGTTTTCCCCACATGTATACAAGCCCTGTACGGTATACCTGCTACCCCAGCCACAGTGACATCAAATTATCTGGGAGTAGTCGAGTATGAAGGGAACTGGGCCAATCGGGATGACCTTAAGGTAAGCCAAGTCTCGTCTCGGCTGTGGTCCCTGCTCACGGACAAATTAGGCATTTTTGGGAGAGTTCCGGCCCGACATGAATTCGTCGACTACATACGCCTTTCAATCAATAGATAATGGAACCGATTCTCAAAATATCACAGAAGCAGGGGCAGAAGCGGTACGTATGTATCAAAATGTGGTAGTGCCTGCCGCTTCAGATCCTGTTTCCTGACCGAAGGTCCGTCACAGGACCTCGACATAGAATATACAGTTGGACTTGCAACGGGCGTTCCGGTCACCCTCATCTCGACAGGCGGTGAATTTCCGGGCGCGTTACTTGATGCAGCCGCTACCTTGCTCAATGAATCCTCCCCCCCGCAAGTGTTGTCCAGCAGCTGGGGCTATAATGAAGATCAAGTGTCAAAGAAATTCGCTTAGTGGGTCTACTGTGTTTGTTGTCAACACGTGCTGCATTGACTTGGGTTGCATAGCGCACTTTGCAACGCATATGCTGGTCTGGGTGCGCGAGGCGTCTCAATAATCTACTCCTCCGGCGATGGAGGCGTCTCAGGTAATCACTATCCTGAAGAGACATGCACAAGCTTTGTGCCTCAATTCCCGTCCGGATGCCCTTTGTCAGTTTTTTCTTGAACGGCCGGTGTCCGTGTTTTGACCTTGTACTTTAGTGTGACGTCCGTAGGTGCCACAACTGGACTACCAACGGAATCTGCTGCTTCGTTCACGAGTGGTGGCTTCTCCAACTACTGGAGCAGGCCAGCATACCAAGACACAGCGGTTACGGAGTATCTCTCGATCCTCGGTAGCAACAATACTGGTTTGTACAACGCTAGTGGGCGCGGTTTCCCCGACATCTCTGCCTATGGCGTCAACTTCGAAACCATCGGTATGGGTGACTTGCTCCTTGCCAGCGGGACGAGTTGCGCGGCACCCACGTTTGCCAGTATCGTGGCGCTACTCAATGATCGGCTTCTGGCCGCCGGAAAACCCGTTCTTGGATTCTTGAACCCGTTACTTTACTCAAAAGGCGTGTCGGGCTTCACTGATATACTAACGGGAAACAATCTAGCATGTGCCAATTACACGACTGGCTTTTACGCTACTCAGGGATGGGACCCTGTAAGTCTTGTCTAGACTGGAGGTTATATTCTGAATAGGTACTGACTCTGCGATACAAAGCTCACTGGGCTCGGCACGCCCATATTCCCGAACTTGCAGGAGATTCTAGGGCTCTGAGCTCTTCACAAGGTGCATAGCGTACGCGGCCTATTGGTGGGGAATAACATCATAATTATGTCTGAGCGTGCTGGGATCCTGAGCAGCATCCCTCGTGAGTCGAAGATGGACAAATTTGATAGTACATTTCGTGATCGTTATTTTAGTTATTGCACTGCACAAAACATTCCCTTATTTTCCACAGTTCACCGAACAGCCGGGTTGACGGCTGTGTAACCGCCGTCGACAACAATTTCCTGCCCGTTCGTGTAGCAACCCGCGGGCGAGACTAAGTAGATGACCGTCCCTGCGACCTCCTGCGGACTGTGTCCATTTACATTAGCTTGCAGTTTTGACATCGAAGCGGTAGGTATACATACGTTCCAGCTCTGCGCGCGGGAATAGGCACGATGGATTTTCCAATCTTGTCAACCTGGTCTGGCGGGATATGTGGATAAGTCATCTCGGACTCGTAAACACCTGGCGCGACGCTGGAGACCCGGACGGGTATCCTTTTGAGCGCCAGCTCGGTAGCAAACATCTTGGTCAAGTGGGTCGCAGCGGCTTTCGTAGCGTTGTATGCAAACTGAGAGAAATTTGTTGTTCATCAAATAACTAATATGGATCATAGCCACCTAAACGTATGCCGTACTCACCTGGTTCTGAGCCAGTTTATTCATTCCACTGAGACTGGTGACATTGATGACACACGATGTGTAATCAGGCACGTCACTACTACCCTTCGCAAGTAGCCCCAGGAAGGCAGTGGTCATGAAATATATCGAGAACGTGTTGATGCCGAATACATTCGACCAGTCTCCGAAAGATGCGCTATCAAATAGCGCACGGCCAAGCGTCTCTGGATTTTTATGTTCAGGCGCGGTGGTGTCATTCAAAAACGGGGTCAAAGGTCCCGATATTCCAGCGCTTGTGGTGGAACAGTCCGTTAGCAGAAGACTTGAAGGAAAGGGTTTGATGTCCTAACTTGTTAACTAGAATATGCAGTTTCCCATCCTTGGACGCGACAGCTCGCTGTCCAGCAAGAATGCTCTCCTTGTCAGTTACATCCATAGGTAGCCTGTGCCATAGGAAACAGTTAAACATCCCGGCGCAGTAACAATGCGCTATATAATTTCTGAAACAACTCACGGAATAACACTACCATTGCCCTTGTTCTCGCGCGCAAATTTGGCTGCGGTATTCTCCAAAACATCCTTGCGACGACCTGTAATGTATACTTTGGCGCCATTTACCGCGAGGCCTTCAGCGATCATCCATCCGATGCCGGTACCACCTCCACTGACGAGGGCGATACGGCCATTGAGATCGAATATTTTGTCCAGTCGCAAGCTTGAGGACATTTCTCTACTTCACTGACGCGATACAAGTCGACTGAAGCAGGCGTGGGCAAACAGCGAGCAGCATGGCTTTGATTCGGAGACGGAGGCGGCTTTCCTTGTCGTCCACGAGACAAGCTCGATTGGAATCATCCCGCGTCGCCATGATAGGCGCTTATCTACTGAGTATCGTCGGCGCTTACCAGGGCTAAATTGTATTTTGCAATTGTGTTCAGCCCACCTTGCAAAATAAACAGTACGCAGCCGGACATGTATGTTGCGGTCGTTTTCGTTATCGTTCTCCGTCCACAGGTCTTAATCCGCTAATTCGCCATGCTTTCGACAGAATCCCTAAGAGATTCAATCCACAGAAACCTCCTGCCATCTGCGTCGTCAGCGATCTGATTCTCTGTGAGATTCAGACGGATTGTCAGACCCTCTCGCCGGACCGAAAAATAGGTGATTTCATTACAAGAATCACATTGCATAGCGAGGAAATTCTCATTTAATAGTGATTCGTTCGACTCTTTCGGCTATCTTTCCCTGCCCTTTTTTCGTTTCTCACTGTGATCTGCCGCAGGTGCTCAACCTCATCATCGGACTGACGGGTTAACCGCCGTATATCCGCCATCTACGAGAATTTCCTGACCGGTTGTGTAACAGCCTGCGGGAGAGACAAAATAAATGACCGTGCCCGCAAGCTCCTGTGCCCTGTACGAAGCAAGATTAGTATTACACATCAACCGAGTGCATTGTACGAGCACACGCACGTTCCAGCCCTATTCTCTGGCGTCGGGACGATGGACTGTCCGTGTTTATTGACCATCTCTGGCGTAATGGCCGCATCGGTCATCTCCGACTCGAATACCCCAGGGGCAACGCTGCAGACCCGCACAGGAATCTTCTTCAGCGCGAGCTCCGTCGCCAGCATCTTTGTCAAATGTGTTACGGCGGCTTTGGTGGAATTATATGCAAACTGACGAGGAAGCGATCACTGGCGAATTGATTTAAAGGCATAAAAATCAAGATACATGACTTACCTTGTTCTGCGCAAGCTTCGTATTTCCACTGATGCTACCGATATTAATAACGGAGGACGTGTATCCCGGAACATCGTCGTTGCCTTTTGCTAGCAGGCCGAGGAAAGCGGTGGTCACAAAATAAATGGAAAAGACGTTGACGCTGAACACGTTGGACCAGTCAGCGAAAGCCGCACTGTCGAAGAGCGCACGACCGAGCGTCTCCGGACTCTTGTGCTCCGGCGTGTTCATATCATTCAGAAACGGTGTCATAGGCCCTGCAATCCCAGCGCTGCAGATACATCGATTGATGAGCCAGCGCCACATTGTATAATGGACTGGCGCCCATACTTGTTGACTAAAATATGCAGCTTTCCTTCTTTAGATGCAACTACTTCCTGTCCCGCCAGGATGCTAGCTTTGTCGGTAACATCCATGGGGAGGCTGCACGACATCAATAGGGTGGGTTAAGGGGTGAAATTTGGTCGACTCACGGAATCACGCTGCCATTTCCTTTGTTATCGCGCTCGAACTTGGCCGTGGCTTGTTCCAAGACATCCTTGCGTCGCCCGGTTATATAGACCCTAGCACCATTCACCGCGAGAGCCTCAGCAATCATCCATCCGATTCCAGTACCACCTCCAGTGACAAGGGCAATGCGGTCATTGAGATCAAAGAGCTTATCAAGGGATAGATTGTGTGACATTGGCCTGATCAAAGAGCAAGTACAATGATAAGTAGGCAGAGCATGTGGGGAGGTAGACATCACCATGTCCCCCTTTGCTGAGCAATATGCTGGGCATGAGCGTAATGGGCAGTGGGCACAAGCCTCACACACCGGGGTTCCATACTCAAACATGTCCGGTCTCGCACTCCGGCACTGTGGGATAATTTGTGGCATCGGATTGCGAGACCAGACATGTCTGGGTATGCAACCCACGATGTGTGTGGCCGCGAGCGATGCAGCATCAAACCAAGTCCCTTACTTATATGCAGCCTCCAGACCAACTGACTGATGAATCAGCGATGCAAGAATTCGATTATGTGCGGCTCAGCGACCATCGCACGGCCTCCCCCGAGCTTCCACGCACGATGTCTTTGGCTCCGTGACCAAATGTCCATCACCGCTACCTTCCGCTGACCTTGATCGTCGCTTTCCTCTCTAGCGACATTGTCCTCCTCTGCTAGCATCTGCGAAGTTCTAGATCCCTCTTGCGTATGCTATCTTTGGCATTTTCACATCGCAGCAAAGTCCCGGGACTCGACTTGAATGGTTGGATCAGGAACAGTGCTCGAACTTCACCCAAAGACCAGTCTTGGAAGAGTTTGGTATCAAGCAGGGCTCGAGTCTTCTTGATATTTCAGACAGCATCCCTGTGTACGGAAGTGTCGATGGACTTGAGCCGACTTACGATTCAAGTGCTGAATGTGGATCAGATGTGAGATCGGTGCGCGGTCATGTATTCTGGCCAATCTGTGACCTATCAGGTGAGAGCGGGAATCCCACATGACCATCTGTGACTTGCTATTATCTTCTCTCCTGTCTTGGCATCAACAATCATCCCCTACCTGTAGCAGACTACCATGAGTCAAATCTCAAGCAAGACATATCTTACAGGTTGTGGTAAGATGGCATTAATGGCATTGACCGGCCCTATGCCATAGCAAACCATTGGTCAGAGCTCCCCACTCTGCAGATGCAGCATTGAGGGAAGCCTAACCAATGGTTTGCCACTGGTGTAAGACCGGTAAGGACGCAGCGGCGCCGTCGCCGGCAGTGGCAGTCGTTTCGACTCTGTCGCAGCGGGGAACGGTCATGTGATTGGAGTATGTTCAGACGCGATTCATGTTGAATTGATTTTGTACGTGTCATACCGCAATCGTCCGCGGTCTCCAAAGCCTGTCTAGATCTGTCATAGAACGGGAACGACTTTCTTTCTCTTCAATAATTTCTGGTCCAATCCGGAGTGTTTTTTTTTTCGATGGTTCGTATTCACGTCACACCCCTAGCCTCTCCGTCCAGCAGCAAATATCGCAAAGAAACATTTGTAATAGAAATACCAGTGCGAAAGAAGATTAGAGCACACACGAAAGTTCTAGCTCAACACAAGTCCGTCGTGATCGATGGCCAAAAATTTACCGCCTCTCCCATCCTCGACGTCCTTTTTGAATTCATGGCCGAACGCCATCGTATTTTCAAGCGTCGGCTGGCACACGAGGATGCTCCCTGGACGGACGATCGGATACTTGCGGTGTATCCCTTCACGAATGTTTACCGCATTTACGATCGGGTCACGCAATACGTTCTGCGACATGTCATACGCGAGGGAGAGCAAGATCTGCACGAAGCCTGCTTCCGCGTCATGTTATTCCGCTCCTTCAACAAAGTCGAGACATGGAATCTTCTCAGGACTCATTTCGGCAAATTGACATGGCGCGAATTCGACGTTGGAGCGTACGAGAAGGTGCTCTGTTCTGCAGAGCAGGCCATTTACGGGCACGCATACATCATCCCCGCTCCAAAACTCGGGGTAACATCTAATGCGGGAAACCACTTGCGCCTCATTCAGTTGATGATGGAACAGAACGTTCCAGGTCAACTGAGGCGGTTTCGTCACCTGAAAGATGCGCACGGCTGGTTAAGCATTTTCCCCAGCATGGGTGACTTCACGAGTCTACAGTATGTCTCTCTCCAACAGTGTATCTGCATCGTTATAACCTCCACTGATCCCTCCAATCCCTCTCGCAGACTTTTGCTTGATTTAAACATGCTTCCTTTCTTCAATTTCAGCGAGAATGAATGGATAGCACTTGGGCCTGGATCCCTCGAGTGTATCCGTAAGATTTTCGGGCCGTCCATAAGGGGCCGCGAGTATTCTGCATTCAGATACATTCATTCCATTCAGCACGAGCAATTCGCGCGCTTGGGGATCCTTGCCAACCTGGTCCCCCGACTGTGTAAAAATTCCCAAAGTGGAGTGACTATGGTCGACCTGGAACATTCGCTCTGCGAATGTGAAAAGTACAGCAGGGCCCGCTTTCCCGAAATTACTGGGCGAAGGAAGAACGTCGCAAAATGCATTTGGCGGCCGTCGAAGAAGGGTGTCACTGCCGATCTTCCGGAGCACTGGGCACAGTCAAGAATAGCGAACGCTTCGGTGCATCTCACGAAACCTCCTCCAGTAAATGACGCGGCTGAGTATGAAGTATCACATATTGTGGCCGAGAAGTCTGGTCACCAAGGCCGGCCGCAGTACCTGGTTCGCTGGGTTGGGTACAGTCCTGAAGACGATACTTGGCAACGAGAAGCAGACTTAGTCGACGGAGCCGCCTGTGTACTGAAGACTTGGAAGGATATGAAGGATCGAATCTGGTCCGCCGTGTCGGAGTATCAAAAGATGGGCAGTAAAACTCGTAGGAATGGTGCCATTCTCGGAGTCGAGGAGAAGAAATTTCCATGGTAAACGTGGAAATTGATCTTTATCCTAGACTGCTCATCCTGTAGTTTACGTTACTTATATAATTGGTGGGACGGATTAGTTGTTCTTCTAGGAATTGGTCTTTCTTAGTGTAGAATACTTCTTAGATGCCATACTAACCGCATTATCATCGCGCATGTACTTGCTTGGGGGCAGCCAATCTATGTTTGTAACGTTGTCCTTGCCTCGGCGAGTTTGTACAGTTCTTTTCGTTCCGTGAGTCGAGCTTGGATACTCTCCTGAGGATTTATCTCAGACGCGCGCGTCGCGTTGATGTAGATCGCGAGTCGATCGCGTCTGGGGCACGTGGGCCGTGTCCGGCAACGATTTAGGGAAGTCGAGCGTCTTGTACTCGTCTCGTATGTGGCACTTCTGGGCCAGGTCATCCCATCTGCGGTAACTTCGCACTCGCTTTACATATGGACGCAGTAGAAAAGGCAAATGCAGATAGGCAGAAACGATGGTGCACATCCTCACTTCCCCTTTCGGGGTTGTACTAATATCGCCAAAGGGCCAAAGAACAGAAGATTGGCGAGGGTACCTATGCCGTGGTATACAGAGGTATGTGCTGAGCGCTGCATCATCTATCTGCCTCTTATAAGCTCTATGTAGCTCGTGAGATTGCCACAGGGCGAAGAGTGGCCATCAAGAAGATTAAAGTTGGCCAATTCAAGGACGGTCTTGACATGTCTGCTATCCGTGAAGTCAAGTATCTCCGGGAGCTTAAGCACCCGAATGTAATTGAGGTACGCTCAGGATATTACCCCTCTGCTTTAAGCTTACTGTGCACAGCTTCTGGACGTATTCTCCTCCAAAACTAATCTCAACCTTGTACTTGAATTCTTGGACACGGACTTGGAACTCGTCATCAAAGACAGGTCATTAGTCTTCCTTCCCGCGGACATCAAGAGCTGGATGGCCATGACCTTTCGCGGTCTGGAATTCTGTCATCGTAATTTTATTCTGCATCGAGTGCGTCACCAACGAGCTATATTTGTTTGTGGTAATACTTACTACGCAAACATAGGATTTGAAGCCGAACAACTTATTAATCGCTTCGGATGGGAAACTGAAGATAGCTGATTTTGGTCTCGCGCGCGACTTCGCCGACCCAGGATACAAAATGACTTGCCAAGTCATCACGCGGTATGTCTTTAATTTATTAGTCCTCATTCAAGTTTTGCTCATATCATGGTGCAGATGGTACCGTCCGCCTGAGCTTCTCTTCGGGTGCCGATATTACAGCACTGCCGTCGACATTTGGTCAGTTGGCTGTATTTTTGCCGAGCTCATGTTGCGCACACCCTACCTACCGGGTGAAAGCGACATGGACCAACTAAAGACCATCTTTCGCGCCTTGGGCACGCCCACGGAGGATGACTGGCCTGTAAGCGCTATCATTGGTTTCTTTCTGAGTCGGCAAACTCATTACTTTTGTAGGGACACACGAAACTACCAGACTATGTTCCACTTGGCCAATTTCCTCGAACACCACTAAGGGATCTATTCACCGCCGCCAGTGCTGACTGTCTCAATCTCCTGAGTAAATGCCTTATCTACGAGCCACGGCGACGCATCAGTACCAAGGATGTAGGTGTTGCCATATTCATGCCCAGTGCATTGTGTTAATTTGTTTCAATTACAGGCCCTCAATCATCCTTATTTCTTCGCCCTCCCATACCCTTCTCACCCTTCCAAACTTCCAAAGCCTGCCGCGAAAGCCAACTCGTCGCATCCTCTCGACGAAGTCGACGGCAACGTTGACCTAAGTGGTCTTGGGCCCGGCGTCAAAGCGAACCCTCCGAATAAACTCAAGCGCAAAGTGTCATCAGATGAGCTCGGTAGCAGGTCAATTGCACGACGACTCGACTTCACGCAGCATCGATGATCCCAGGTCCAGAGGTGACCACAAAAGCAGGCGGCACATTAGCCATACGCCCCGCCTTGTCTCTGGATCCAGCGGCAGTAACCTACTGTAACATACACCTAATATCTACGAGTATGTAAAAAAAATTGTAAAACTAGAAGATGTAACCCAATTTGTATGGCTCAAGGGCCAACGACGAAAAGCATAACAGATACGAGATGAACAGAGCGACAATTTGAAAGAGCATCAGCGCGGGGAATCACACACTGTGCACTTGTCCGTCGCGGTAGCTGGATTGGTCAACATACACGTCTTGCATGTCCAAGTTCCTCCAGCCGGTTTCGTAGGCTGCTTGAACCCGGCCGCGGCAAAATCGAATCCTTGAACGGGTGCTGCCTTTAATTTATCCGGACGCGGGGCCTCGCAAACGGTACATTTCTCCGTGACACTCGCGGCGTTCTGGAGCATACAACTATTGCATGTCCAACTGCCCTCGGTTGCCTTCGCAGGTTGCTTCATCCCCGCAGCTGCCCAGTTGAAGCCCGCAGGCTGTGCAGGCGCAATGATAGCTACGGCGGGCTTGACCGTAAACGTTAGATCGAATCTGGGTAAGGAAGAGGCCGGCGATGCAATTGCTTGTTTGCGAGCCTTCAACGAGCTCGGTCCTGCCCCAGGAGAGGAAGTCGGGAGCGAGAACGAGTACTGCGGCAGTTCATTTGCGTCCTTCGAAAGGGCAATAGCTTTCGCATTCTGTGGCACAACCTGGGCATTTGGCGGGATGGTCGGGTTGGGATCGGAGGCCTTCGATATCGGTGCACCAAATGAAGGCGAAGTAGATATAGCGGGCGCAGCAGGAGATGCTTCACTGGAAACAGGAGGAGTAGCGGGAGAATGGGACATTGCACCATCTTCCTTCTCCTGCTCTTCCTTCTCGACCTGTATGCTGTAACGCAATTTAGAAGGCGCCCGTGGTGCGGAGGATTTTAATGCACCGAAGCCAACACGTTGCGCGGTGCCTGTCGATGATACAGGAGCAAACGGGTTAGTGAACATCGAGGGGCCCGTAGGGGAGGTACTCCGACTTCGCGGTTCTTTTGATGCTCCATCATCAGATGGCTCGATAACCTCGAAAGGCAATGAAGATGAAGTCGGCGTCGCATTGGACATTTCTGCGTCACCAACTTCTTCGACTACAATGCTGGACAGGCCACTGGGCTTTTTAGCCGTAGACGTGGCAGTGGTCTTCTGCTTCTTCGGGGGAGATCCACTTTCCTCATCACTGACCTCTTCAACTATTGCCGAAGGTTTAGAGGGGCGGATCGGCACACTACTGTTAGTACCATGGCTGGTCGGGGGTTGACGAGCTGATGCCGATATAGGAACGGTAGTAGAATTCACTTTGGCATTTTGGAAACCGGGAGGAGGTCGTGCTCGCTTACTTCCCTGCACAACGATCGTCAGTAAGCTATATCCACCATCACAAAATAGACATACCTTTGGTACCGTAGCTTCGATAATCTTCTGGGGGCTCAACTTGGTGTCTACCTCCACCGGAGCAGCAGGTTTCGAGACCTCCACCGCAGGCTTAGTCGCTGTGGAAGTCTTGGGTCTCTTCATCTGAGCCTTTCTAGCAGCAGGTCGCGGTAGTGGATTCGCTGCCTGGTATGGGTTGACAATATCTGGCTTCTTCTGAGGTGAAACCTCTTTGATTAGCTCGGCCATGTAACTGGCCGCACGAGTTGGCTTTGACGTTTGTGGAGGTGAAGGCTGTGGAGGAGACGAAGGAGACGAAGGCTCGGATCGCCCCCATGCTTGACGAAGAGGCGAAGGTACCGTAGGCGTCGTCGCTCCGATCGAGCGAGCGCGGGGAGTGGACGGTGGTGCACCGGTTGTCCTAGGCAGGCCATTCATGCCTGAGCCAGTACTTGAAGTGGCGGGGCTAGAAATAGACTGTGATGTTAACCCATTCGCTGTAGAAGTCGCTCGTGGTGCGGAAGAAGGGACATTCTGAATAATAACCGTGTCTGCATCTGGTGCAACTCGTCTTCGTTTTCCGTCGGTCTTTGGCTTCTCCGGTAACAGCTTAATGCTCGACGACCTAGAGGTGGGTACTCCAAAACTTGGAGACTGATAGCGATTTCGAGGTCGCGCACTCCCTGCGCCGTGCAGCACATATGACCCGTTAGGATTTCTTGACAGCATCTTTCGTTTAACTTGAGCGTTGGACCCTCTGGACGTTGTCCCAACAGGTTCTGGGCTTAGAGAGGTGGAGAAACGGAATGGGACAGCTGGTTCGGGATCTAGGGTTGAAGTGAATACGCCAGTGATGATGTTATTACATGGAAAACAAACCGTCTACGAGTCTGGCCATTATTGCAGTGATGCCTGCATATTCGGTAGAGGTTATTCGTCCACTTCCCCTTTGAGTTAAAAAGTTTACAATTGGTGTAATGTCTGTCGTTTCCGAGTTTACAGCATTAAGCAGATCTCTATCAATTGCGCCATATGCCTCTGGGCCTTGCTGCTGTACCGCTTGAGCAGCCGGAGCTGGTGCTTGTGCCGGCGCCTGTGCTGGTAGTGGAGCAGGCTGTGGTAGGGGTGCAGGTTGTGGTAGAGCAGGCTGGGGCTGAACTACCTGAGGATGCTGAGCAGGTATAAGTGGCTGCTGGAGAAATGGGACCTGCTGGGGAGTGAGTGGTGGCGGGGCAGCAGGCAAAGAGTATTCAGGTACCTGCAACATCGGCAGCGCACGAAAAGCGTACGGGGAAATATTCTCCATCTACGGGGAATATCGTTGGGCCATATAATTTAGCTGATCCGAAAGCGACACGAACCTCGTTTCCCCGGGCTGCAAGAATGTCGCCCGCGTTATTCTGCCGATGTGAACTCGACAGGACGCGCAGTGGGTTTAACATCCCGAGTATAGTCCTCAAACTCCATGATTCCTATAAGCAATAATTGATCAGAAACAGGAACCTGCATACAATACAAGGCCCACATATGCGGTACGCACCGATTGCTGTTGAGGTCTACGAAGGTAGGGCGAGGCAGCACGATTGCGTGCCTCTCTCCGAGAGTTGGAAGAAAAGGTACGCGAAACACCGCTCATTGTCTGGGATGAGGAGGGGGAGGGAGACGAGCGTGTGGAGACGTTGTGGCCGGTTGAGCATGCAGCAGCGTGCAACTCGCGTCTACCACCCGGCCCTAAACACGTCACGCGCCCGCGTCAGGCGGCTCGCGTAGCGCCCACACACACGCCTTGCTCATCGTTGTCCTCGCCGTCGCCACCGCCGAGGTCATCGCCTGCAACAATGCCCCAGAAAGTTGTCGAAACCCCCTTCCCTCTCATTGATGCAGACCCCCATGCTTCTCGCGTGATTCGCTATATGCGCCCATCCGACCTTGGTGTTTGGGCCGCTGCAACTGGTGCATTCCCTGCAGCACTATACTTCTGGGGTACGTTCTGCTAGTGAGCACATGTAGAATCTGAATCATACCTTGACTGTACTGTATAGACATGGCAGATTCGTCCAAATTCAAGCTCCGGACTCAGCTCCGTCTCGGTGGGCTGCTTGGCTTTGTTGGAGGGTTCCTCCTCGCATACCAACGGTCAAGCTGTAAGCTTATCACTACTCTGCTATATAACTTTTCTAATTTGTGGTGTTAGTCCGTTTCTGGGGCTGGTCAGAGAATCAACGAGAGGAGAGGGCTGACCAGGAGGAAATGAGTTGGCGCGCACAGCAGGGTTTGCCGTTATACGGCGAGTCTGCACAGCCTGAGTGGATTCAGGGCTCAGCATACCGCAACTCGGTATTCTCCCAGTTGAAATTTGGTGCGCCCATTCGCGAGTATGAATAGGTACTTGCTAATGACGTCCCGCAGCCGCTTTCCCAATGTTTGTTTCATTCCTCTATAGACCGGTTCGTGCTGATAATTACTCTGGACAGGTTTAACCTCGTCAATCACCCATACCATGGCACGGATCCTGAGAAGTACAAGTCGAAGGCAGATTCATCATAGACGTATGAATTGATATTTTACGTTCCTTGACAATCTATTGCGTATCTCTGCCGAAATAGTTTCTAAAGGTGACGGAAATGAATAGGTCTACTAATCTGCTAGCCGTTCATTTGACCTATATTGCTTAAGCAATGACCAATCATTGCCCCCAGAGGTATTCGACAGTTATGAACGCAAAGGCAAATGTCAAACACGCCCTCTCTTCCTCCGTCTCCCCGAGTCGTCTGCCTCAGGGTCCCCCATTTCCTGTTCTGGGGTTTTCTGCTTTCCTTCTTCTACCATTTGTTTTACAACCTTTTCCCACATGACATCATTAATACCTTTTGCCTTCCCGAGCTGCTCCCGCAACTTCGAAACCTCGCTCTCTAACTCCACAACGCGCGACTGCAACGATACGCCCACTGACCCTTTGTCCGTCTCTGACCGCACAAAGAACGCGTGATCGTGATTCAACTCGTCCGCTGGATATGAGAAGAATACCTCTGTGTCTGCCTGAATAACCAACGACGGCAATCCGATATAATGAGAAGATGAGGTATAGTAGAAGATGAAAAACCTACGGGATCCCTCGAATGTAGCATTATGGAGACCTCATGCGCGTCGCGGGCCTTTGCATCTCGTATTCGCTGAAAAGGTACAACCGGACGACCTGGTAGCTCTTTTGTTTCCGTACCAACTGTCAGGCTCAAAGTCGCATGTCCGACTAGGTCAGGTGGGCGGAGCATGGTCGCTAGGTGCGTAATGAGGAGTCCTTTGTGCGTCGACACCGTGCGCAGTAATTGGTGCGATGCGATGTCATAGATTTGGATGAGGCCTGTCTCCGTCCCAACAAGTAAGAGCGAGGAGGTTAGAGAAATGGTGATGGCTGAAACTGGGTCTCTATAGATAATTAAACAAATGAGTTTATGCCTTATTCGAAAGCACTCACCCAGTCGAGATAAGCCTTTTTTTCGCAGTCCTTGTATCTTGTATGTCAATTCGGACGACATCGTTCATCCCTGCACCACCAACTGCTTCCAAGGCGGCGCTGCCAAACTTGTCTTCCCGCTGACGGAACATATTGACCTGGTGGATTGAGCCATCTGCGGAGGCGGCGAAAAATAATCGTTCTGTGATGTCCCATGCCAGACACGACACCGGTTTTGGAAAATAAAACGTCGTGAGCAGAGACTTGGAGGATAAGTCCCACAGCTAGATATACATGTCAGAAACGAAAACATCATTGGACACACTGTGTGTTCACCTTAACAGAATGATCAAGGGACGAAGTGAGGGCACGGCACAAGGGAAAGGGGCCTACACCGCATACAATATCGGTTACAGGTAGAGTATGGTCGGAGAATGTGCAATAAGGTGTTGGCAGCTCATTCTGTAAGTCGTCGTCCAACAATCTGTTTAGATCTGATCGGACAGTGACTACCACAGACAAGAAATGAAGCTGACCTTGAAACAGACCAGACGCTAACCCCTGAGTCTTCGCTACCAGTCAATAAAGCTGAGCCATCCTGTGTAAACCGCAGGACGTTGACCTGACGGTAGTGCGCATCCCATGCATTGTGCATTATCCCAGAAGCAATCTACTGCAAGAGAGTTATTCGCTAGGCACTTATAGACGGCAGAGACTTGAGCTTGCCTCCCATAAATACACTCGACCTTGCGATGTGCCCCCTGCGCAGAAAGTCCCAGTGGGATCCACAGCGATGGTGGTGAGTTTTTCGGGAAGCACAATCTTCAGCGCAAGTTGATCCTAAGAATATTATGGGTTGAGTGCAATCAAGGATTGCACATGTCGTTCGTGCGCAACTGCATACCTTATGGAAATAATATGTGTTCAGGATCGACTTATCCGGTTGAGCAGCGAGCATGTAACCGCCTTGGCCATTGCGTGTCTGGACGATAGCGGTGCATCTTGTTCCGGCAGAAGTTTGTTTAAAAGACGCAAGAGACGTTCCAGTCTGTATGTCATGTAGGGAAATGGACCCTGAGCCTGCAGTAGGTGATGAAGGCGCTGTCGCGCATAAGATGCACTCATGTAGCTGCATAAGTCTCCTTGATTCCAGGCGTCAGGTTTGAATACTAGCAGGATAGACGGAAGATAGCCGTGAGTTACAGTACTGTTCAGAAGAGACAGACCCAGAATAATCAGAGCCACGGCGAACAAAATCCCACCGAGCTCTCGAAATTCGAAATACTTATGATTTCGTGTGATTATGTAAGAGGTCATTTCTCGTCATTTCCTGGTCCCCATGCTCAGCCCGGTGGCTCGCACTTCACCTTCTGCCCCTCCTCGACCCTTCCCCATTCCGGAGCGATGCTGCCTTGCCACATCAGAACTGCTCTAGTGACCTCCAAAATCCCCGCTCATAGCTATACGGTCCTTTATAGTCGCAATGCCCTGCGTCCCGCGTTTCGACATCGGCCAGCAGTAGCGTGTCCCTCGGCTTCGTTCCGGACCTCCTCGCGGCGCCAGGACGAGCTACCAAAATCGCCATTCCAAACGTTCGTCGAGGTCTTGAGAGAAGAGCTGCGCAAGAATCGGGAGCTGCAGGACAATGTGAAGCAGCTGCAGGGCGACGTGGACAAGCTCCAGGACTCGGAGGCGATGAAGAAGGCGCGAGCCGCGTATGAGCGGGCGAGGGTATGTTTCTACATCATGCAGGGCATTATGTTAGTGAAAGAACTCATCCGTAATGCCTTAGCTCACGTCCAGCATCAAAGAAAATCCGCGGCTGCGAGCAGCGGCAGAAGAACTTCGCAGGACCGGCGTGAAGGTTGGCGATGCCGTCTCAGAGGCACTCCGAACCATGGAGGAGAGTGAGCTCATGCGCGCAGTGCGTCTCATTCCCGCTACCACTTCCTTGCACACGCCCTGACTCACCATGCGCTGGTAGATATCCCGTGCGTCGAACGCCGTCTCCTCGACCATCGCATCGACAACAGAGCCAATACGCAATACGGCCGCGTACAAGGCACTGTCTGACACTCTGGTCGATGCGCTCGACGACAGCGGCAGCGCTAAGCACGCCGGGTTTGAGGAGAAGGAGGCGCGCCGGAAACGGCGACAGATGCGACTGGCCAAGGCAGGGAAGAACAGTATCACAGGTTCCTCTCGCATCGTCAAGGCCGACCCTGAGTACGCACGCTCTTCTGCCGTCCTCTACTCACGCATCTCACCCCTGCCTGCAGCGCCGGCGCCGCCATGGTGCTGCACAAGGACTCGCCGAGGCGGGAAAAGTGGGAAAAGCTGAAAGAGACGAATCCCCTCCTGCGCTCGTTCGTGTCGCTTCGCCAAGCATTCGACGAGTCCGAGCATCCAGTCGTGTCGTCCGTGCGCTCAGTGACACAGACCGTCGGCGGCTGGTTCGACGAAACGGAACACGCGCAGGTGCAGCGGACCATGAAGCTTATGGACCCTACATTTTCCATGGAGTCATTTGAGCGCGAACTGAGAGAATACATCGTCCCCGAGGTCGTCGATGCGTATTTAAGTGCAGACCAGGAAGCGCTAAAAGCATGGTGCGGCGAAGCGGTACGCGTGGCACCTGACTCTAAGCAGTAGTTATCATACGCTAACGAGCTTTGCAGACTTACAACGTTCTCTGGGCCACTATGGAGCAATATCTGCGTCAAGGGCTTGTCAGTGATAGCAAGATTCTGGATATACGACAAGTTGACGTGTGTGGACAGTACTTTCTGTCTGTTAGCATTTCCTAACACTAGCTCACGGCTTAGGTTTCTGCGGGCAAAATTCTAGAAAACAATGTCCCCGTCTTTGTGATCACTTTTGCGACGCAGGAGATGCTATTGTTCCGAAACGCAAAGACGAGCGAGATTGTGGTCGGCGCAGAGGACAAAGTCGAGCAATGCCATTATGCGGCTGTCGTTACTCGAGTTGAGGAAGAGTTGGACAATGAACTCACGGGCGGCTGGAAGATCGTCGAGGTGCGTGACATCACCTTGGCACTAGGATCTAGTTATTCACGGCTTGTTCCACATTCAGATGGCACGACGATCCGCACGAGCGTATTTGTAGTCGGTTGGAGCGACGGAGCCTCACCATCATTGTTGGACTCTAGGAGGTTGGTCCCGCGTCTTGCTTGCGGCATACTGGCTACTTCGATCGGGGGCAAGCCTATCCCACAGATTCTACTAGATTGCCCTGGCATCGACACACCCCACTCACCCAAAATTAGGGACTATCATATGTTTCCTGTCATGGATTATTCTGTGAATCAGGCATAATAACATTAGAGATCGTGCGGGATCTATGGTGTTCTGACACGTTCGAAGTAGTATAGATTTTGACCACCGGTCGGTCTAATACCATCTGGGATGGAGATCATAGCAATGAGCATCAAGTCAATTTGTGCATCATAGTCCGTCATGAGTTCTTGGCAATACCCGCAGCACCACTATCGCGAGCCGCAGACCAGACATCCTCCGTAGCAGCGACTATCCTCTGCTTGACGCTGCCAAAGCTGTCCAGAGCTGGTCGGACGTCCAGGGAGAAGACCGGCGAACCATCTGGCTCTGGAGGCGCCGAGTAGTAATCAATCACGTAGCGCACCTCTTCACCCGACTGTTGCCGACGGACGACCCAGTCATGCCGGTCAAAAGGCGGCTCAGTGCTGTGTGGCGACCATATCTGGTAAGCGAATGAACAGACAAGAGTGTTTTGGCACGTACTTGAATCGCGAGGGCAGCAGCCACCCCGCGAAAAGCCAGAAGCGCGCCTTTGGCGAGAGCTCACCCGGTCTGCCCTTGAACCTTGCCAGCTGAGGTTCTTCGCCACTGCAGTGAGGAGAGTCCGTAAGTGAGGCACAGCGATGCGAGGGCGCGGGGCGGTGACACTCACGGGTTCTCCTTGCGCTCCCACTTGAGTATTTCCTGCCATGCTTGTTCGTTGAGGAAGTTGTGGATCTGCACCATCGTCTCGACGTGCTCCTCGGGGGTCTCCCAGCCCTTGCGGACGAGCGCGTTGTAGAACTGCTGCGGCGAGGGATACTCCCATGTGGACGAGGCGTCGCGGGGGATAGTGGACGCCTCGCGCAGGGTGGGTAGCTCGGCGGACTGGTGTGCGGCGGGGGTTTGCGAGAGCGTGGGCATCTGGTTTAGCGGATTGAGTTCACCGGGTTCATGGCTAATAGGGCATTGCGCGGGGACTGTTGGGGACGAGGACGAGGCTAATGTGCTAGCGTCGTGCTGGATGGGGCACCGCGCGGGGGAGTCAGAGGGAGCATGGCGAACGGGGCATGAAGCCGGACTAGAGATAGCGGGTTGTGATGTAGTCTGACCCATAAGTCAAATAAGAGAGGAACAGTTGTCGTCGTCGTCAAAGAGCAGTGAAGACGGAGACAGACTCGGGGCGGAATTGCAGGTCTCGCTTTCGGGCCTTCCCGGGTCCCGGGCGCGCTCCGGGCCACAAACGGCACTCACTACTTTCTACTTACCAGCGAGCAACTATGTATGATACTTGCACGAATTATCTCATCGCCACAGAATCGTTGTATATAAATGCGTCTTCATCTATGTGTCATTAGGTCCGAAACAACTAACATCCACCCGTCGGTGAGGCTATGATACATTTGCAGCTGATACCGATATAAAACAGCAGCCCTGCAATGAGTTATGAGATGTTTGCGAGAAAAAGGAGAAATGAAATGCAAAAGGTATCACAGTGCTCCGGGGTATACAGCTCCGAAAATTATATGAGCAAAAATCTTGGGGGTATCTCGAAAAAGGATATCAGCACAGCGTCAGAAAGCGACAGCATTTCGAAGTGATACTATAGCCCAAATCAAATCGAACTCGCGATAAATGTCTTTCAGCGCAAATGACACAACGAAGAATCATCCCGGACGGGCTTGTGCAGGAACATAGCGCATAAATTATAAATGAAGCCAGTGTATCACGGAGAGCTTGTGGCATCGACAGTTAGTTGCAAATTGTGCATTGACCGGCATGTAATGACGTACCTTAAGCAATCCTTGTGGCCATGAAGACATCCGTGATGGGAGCATGGTTGTCATGATGTGCTGTGTCTTGTTATGTGTACGCAGTGCGATACACTGCAGTGCACTATTTGAGGGGGAACAGAACCAGTGCTCGGAGCTATCACTGGAACACTTGCTGGAAAGCATTCACAAGAGCGTTCTCATCGGCATCTTCGCTGCGACGCGGCAACAGTGTCATTTTTCTGCAACGGAAGCTCACGTCAATTGGATGTTCATTCTATCCGAGCCTGGAGTACGTACTGATTGTTCAGTACAAATTTAAAGTTGGTCGGCTTCTCCTGTCTTTGCTGCAATGTGGCAAGCTTCAGCTCGAGCTCCATGCGTTCCTTTTGCAGCTTCCGAAGATGCTTGCTCTCCGCTGCTCTTTTCTGTGCCTCTTTTAATTGATCTTTTTTGCTCCGCATCTTCATTTTTTCATCTTCTCGACGGGGATCGCAGTCTTCGTCCTCACGATAGATGCCTTCAGGAGTGTTATGATCAGCTTCTCTGTCAGCCATCTCGCAGTTCTCTTCGTCTACTTCGAATTTTGGTTCCCCCTCCGCTTCCTCTTCTTCCTCTTCTTCCTCTCCTTCCCGCTCTTCTTCTCCCTCGACCTCTGCGTCCTCGTGAGTGCAATCATTCTCCTCCCCTTTGCTATCATCATCACTTTCCCTTTCCCCTTGTTCTCCAGCCCAGCCCCCGTTAGCAACCAGCAACACCTCCTGTACCCGTTTTTCCGCCTTGTTTGAATGCGCGGGAATCAGCTTGAGATCCTCTTCGGTGTCTGGCATGCTCCGCGACACCTCGTCGAGGAAAGACAGCCCGAAGTCCAGCGCAACCTCTTGCAGGTACGCCTCGACCGCAGCATGCACCTCCGCCTTCTCGTGTAATAGCGAGGATGCCGGACCGTTGGCGACCACAGCCACGTCTGCGCCGCTATCATCGTCCTCGTAGTCCGGGAGCTCATCGCTCGTACACCGCGCCTCCTCTCCAGGCCCGACACTGCTGCAATCTTCCTCGAGCTCCGGTGTCCTCTCCCCGTCCTGTGACTTGGAATCTACTCTCGTCGTCATGTCTGCGTCACTGTGAATAAGACCGAAGCCCTGCGACGGCGCCACTGGGACGTCGTACGTCGAGGTGCCAGGGCCCTGGAAGACGCCAGCCATGTCTTCCATGGCATACTCTGGGATGGCGACCAAATCTACGACCGGAGGCACATATGGTCCATCGACATCAGAAATCGGGAGGCTGATGGAGGGCATGTAATTGCCGGGGATGGACGAGGGAGCGGGATTGGCTAGAGGTACGGGAGCGATCGAGACAGGTTTGGTATTCGACGCGAAACCAATGGCGTCGGTCTCCATGCGATCGCTGGAGGGATGGGGTGCGAGTGACAAAGATTCCCCGGTGGCACTGCTGACCTGGTGCGATTGTGTGGCAGCGACACCCTCCATTGCATGCGCATCGTTGGCCTCCGTTTTCTTGGACTTCGGGGGACGCTTAGCCCGGATGAGCTGCCGCTTGCGCGCGACTGTGGCGGACAAAAACTGGCGGGCGAGCGAAGCTGCCAGGGGCGCCTTGAAGCCGCTCTCCTGAAGGAGATGGGGGACACTGCGGCGCGCCTCCATCTTGCGCATAGCGCAGCCAGATAGCTTGGTGACAAAACTGGGTCGCCACTGAGCACGCCACAACGTGTCGGGCACGAGGTTCAAGTACCACTAATTAGTATGATGTTCGATCTCTCATAGCGAGCAGACGCACCTTGCGTATAGTTCTTGGTTTCATTTCGGGCCCCTTCTCCCAGAGCCGTCGCTTGAGCGCGGGTAGGCGGCTCTTGTCGTCGTAATGGCCCTCCGCGAAGCCTGTGACGACCTCAGGCGCGTGTTTGCGCTTCGCAGAGGATCGGGAGGGATGATATATGGTGGGTGCCACACAGTGGGCAAGGGACCATACCAGTTCTCCATGCTCGATCTGACGTAGTACGTTCAGATCGAGTGACCGGTTGGGTGTTCGATGCCGGCGAGTGGAGGTGCGGTCCTTGCGGATATGCTCCACATACTCCTCTCGCGATTCGAAAACACGTCTCCGCAGTCTCCGAGCCGCGCTGGGAGATGCTACGTATGGGAGGCGAGCGCATTTAGGGTAGTTTGCATGATATTGCTCGCGATACCATGCAAAATGGCTTGAGAGGTCGACTGGGGAGGGAGAAGACATTGTGTGATGGTTGGTTGCAGTGTGGTAAAAGCCAGGGGGTGTTGGGGGGTGAAATGGAACATGCAAACGAATTTATAGACCCAATCGCAGCGTAACAGCCACGGCCCAAGCGTAATTGTGGCACAGGCCGGGCCCCTGCGCGTGTGTGGCGGGATGCGTCACGTGTTGATCGTATCGCGTCCAAATGTCGGTCATGTGATCGTGGCGCGTTCTACTCTATGGCCTTCGGAAATTCGGATGAGCCTTCAGAGCAAGAGCCATGGGCCTTTCGACCACACGAATCAAAATACAAGAACGTAATCGCGGAAAGAGGGCACCTTGGTATCCTAGACCTCCAGGCTCGATCTGCGCAGTCAGTACCTGCATGGTAGTGATAGCGAAAATGAGTCACTGCCCTCAAAGAGATGGATACAGAAGCAGCGAGACGTCCTCAGATACAAGCATTTTCGAAAATCGACCTCTCCGCAGACGGTCCATACAGTATATTCAGCCATGCAAGTACTGCACAGATACGAAAGGGTACAACATACATCACTTATTACTTGTGCTGTTTCTTCCAGTTGCCATTTCTCTCAATCTATCGGGGGTGCTAGAGCGATCATGCTGAATTGGACGCTTGCAGTCTGCGACAGATAATTCAACTTCACGTATTTGGCGACATCCTGGCAAATAAGGCGTGAACATCGGCCACGAGCATTAAATGTATAATGAATCACCTCTAGTAGATTGGTGGATTCTCCTCGGTCGATGGGCCCGATCCTGCGCCCGTCGAGTTCCAGAAGGCGCAATGGCTGCGTAGTAACTACGTCCGACCTGGGAGGATTAGGTGCCTGAACGAAGCATGTAAAGTGCAGATCGGTATTAACTTCTGCCCGGGGAGCAGCAGTCTGCCCTGAAGATGCGACGTCCGCATGTATATTCGCAAACAGCGACGTGGTTTCGAGTATCTTCGCCCGTTCCTCTGGAGTCTTGTCTGCATAGGGCAAGGTTAGATACATCAAGCCTGGATTCCTATGCGCCTACCTCTGCATTCGTCAATAAATAGAGCCAGAGGGCTGTCAGGCGCGAAAGTAACAGGGGACTGTAACGGTGCAACATAGGTATATGACAATCAGGTACATGATTCCAAGTGAGCATACGTTTGCGAGTGCGTGCAACAAACCCATGGTTCCGCACGCGTTACCGATCTACGTCACGGTATCACGTCAAGACTCGCTAAAGGGCTAAATTGAAAGCGCATACAGTCTGCTTGATGTAGAGTACCGTAGGATCAACAGGATGTTGGCCCTGGGCCTTAATTCGTTCGTCTTCTTGTTTTCCTTTTTCTTCAATGGCATCAGTTAACGGGAATAGCAATATAATAGCCTTGACGGGCTGCGGGACCAACGCGAGCAACTGAGGGTGTCTTATAGCCTCTGCTACATCAAATGCAAACGCGATACGCACCTCCGGATCCAGACCATACACATCCGTAAACTGGTCCTGCGATTCGACAAGACCGGCCTTGTTAGCCCACTGGTAGCGTGGTTGCGCAGCGTTCGATGTCATCAGCTAAACCCTTGCAGCTGAAATGGCACGATCCTGCTCACACTGTTGAGCACCTAGGAGCCAATTATCAGTTGCGAGTGAAATCCATCATGACTGATTATATGGGTCACTAACATCTGGATTACTTTCCAGAGGGATCCATCGGCTTGGACGTTCGGAAGTCATGGTGAACGCGCAGAAAGTGCAGTTCAGGGAGTATTAGTTTCTGAATTACTAAATCCTAAAGACTCCTCTTGAAATCTACACGTGATACTTCCTACGTGTGCGTAAAGCTGTTCCGAAAAAGGAATCTATGAATCATGGAGCGAGCCAGGTGAGGCTGCAGCCTGCGCCGCACTGAATGTTCTATGCCCTTCTCGTTTTATTCGGTACTTTTTGGGCTCAACTTGATTTCAACCCTCATTGCAACCGAATCGTCACATTCGACCTTACCTCTCCTACTCGAACACCGTAACGATGGCTACGACCTTATATGAGACGCTAGGATTGGGCAGAAACGCATCCCCAGAAGACAGTACGCGTTGGCTATATGTAGATATACGGCTTACTGATTCTTTGAAATAGTTAGGAAGGCATATCGTCGACGGGCTTTACAAACTCATCCTGATAGGCTTCCCCCGAACATATCTGCAACTGACAAAGCAGTCGCCGAGGAAGAGTTTCGCAAAGTAGATCTATCTCGATGGCCTTTTCGTTCCCTACACTGACCCCCGCTTCAGGTGAATAATGCCTACGAGGTTCTCAACGACGAGCAGAACCGCAAAGTGCGCAGTCCGCCTTGAGTCGTCGTAAGTTCCGTGATCTCATAGCATGCAGCTCTACGACAGGTATGGTGTCTGGCCACCTCCAGCAACTGGTCCAGATAGCTCGCGGAGAACCAATCACCGCCAGAATTCCTTCGATGCTTTCAATTTTGATCCGTTTGGCTCATTTGGTCATCAACAATCATTCGTATTCACCGACCCCTTCGTGCTTTTCAACTCTCTGTTTGGCGACATACACCAACTCCACCGACAGTTTTTCGATGATGATCCATTCTCTGCGAGTCAGTTCCATGGTGCCTTTGGTCGCTCGCCTTTCGATCGTATGGGTGATCCTTTCGGGCATACTCTCATGTCACCTTTTGGTGGTTCTATCTTCGGCAGTGGGCCGGGTTTACTAGGATCTGGGCCTATGTTCTCCGACTTTATGGGACCCAATTCAAGACCAGGAGGAGCCTCGTATGGATCTGTCTCTGAGGCTGTCGGACGTAATGGGCAATGGGTCTCGCAGAGCACAGTTACTCGGTCAATCAATGGGCGTACAGAGACCACCACAAAGCGACGCGATGCAGAGGTCTGTGATATAAGCCACATGCTATGCACAAATGCAGCTGATATAATTGTATCCAGGGCAACGAACACATAACATATTCCTCTCCAGAGGGAGAGCGCTACACCATCAATGGCGTGGAACAGCCTCTCCCGAATGGGCGTGCCATTGCATCGGCCCCTGATCCTTCACAGCGGACTCGACCGCCCCCGCCACTCGCCATCGCCGCCCCGCCATCGACCGCTGCTGCGACTGCCGGTTCTTTCGCGCAGCCTTCGGCATCCGGATTTCATGCCCCGTCGTCTTCCCCGCACCAACCTCAGCCTAGGGCACAAGCTCAGCAGTACCCTGCATATACGCAGCTATCTACTTCCCCGCCTCGTCGCAGCCCCAGCGTCGGATCCCATAATTATCCAGCTCATCGTCCGCCCATAGCGGAGCCTATCCCTGCGCAGTATCAGTCCTCGCGGACCGGCTATCATGGACATAGAAGTCATGGTGCCCATGACCGCGAGCGTCGCGATGGTAAGCGCATCTACACCGGCGCTGCTCACTTAGATTCACATGTCTTCTTTAGTACACGACGCAACGCATGGGCATAGAAGCCATGGTCGCTCTCACAGAGACAAGGATCATCCTCATGAGCTTCGGCACTCTCACCGAGACGCACGGATCAGAGATGACAGAGGATACGATGGAGACAAGAGAGGGCAAGGTGGATGGTGAGCGCGCGCGATGCAGGCAGGTCGTTAGCTCCTGCCGCCGCCTGTTCATGTACTGACGCGTCCCTGCCAGGCTGAGTGGCATCACGCACTTTCTCAAAAGCAGGTTTGGCCGCGCATCCTGATTCATGACCACGCTAGTACTACACTTTGCTACAACGCTCTACTCTTTTCTCGCTTTCCATCTCCGCTCATCCTCTTTGTACACTAGATTGTATTGATAGGTTATCCCCCTTTTTTGTTCTCGTGTATGCCGAGTTCGAGATCGTAGCATTCTGCCTGTCCTAGCATTTACATTCATGAGTTGTGTAGTAATCGACAAAATTTGATCCAGCTATCCGCCGGTCGCCGCAAGACGTTTCCAATGTCTAGCTGTAGTGTAAAATGTGCTTGGTGTGAAGTACTGTATTGGCACGACACTCAAACTAGAATACTACACGACAGCGTGGTGCTCAACCCGAGAGCTACCAAGAGCAATATATGATCGATGAGACCTAACTATATGTTACAGTAGAACGAATCCGAGCTTGACTTGACATTGTGAGTGATGCGAATGTCCAGGAGAGAGGTGTAAAACGAGAGCAAGCAAAAAAGAGTTCAATAAATAATTGCCTACCAAGTACCATTGAAGGAGTGTGTGTGGTATTTCAAACTATACACAGAACCAACCGAGAGCCAAACGAGAGTCTACGACACAAACAGATCTGAAAGCCCCATTGGGAAAAAGACGCATCTAGCATGCTCAGACGACTGCCGCCGTCCGGGTCTGCATTGGAGGGAACGCGGAGGACATGGGAGAGACCTGGTTCTGCTGGAGTAGTGAGTCATTCCCATACCGCGAATCTCCTTCTCCATAGGACGCAGTAAGTGTGTTGGGAGCACTGCTCGTACTTGGCGTCTGAGGTGCCCCTGCAGTTGTTGGAACTTTGCCGATGAACCAGGACTGTGGAGAGCGTCAAGAGTGACCACATAATAAGCACATGAAATACCCACAGGAACCCAACCACGATCGCCGGTTTCCTCCTTGACAGCCTAGACAAGAGCATAATCATCAACGAGAGACCAGCGTAGCAACAATATAGACAAACATATGACCAATGGTTATATCTCTTGAAAACCCTAAGGAAGTCGTCCTTGGCCAGGTTAAGTTCCTCGTCGCCTTTCTTCTTGTAATCCATCAAGGCAATCCCCGGGAAACTAGTAGAGAGGATACTGAGCGGCAGAATGGGGGTCTTCCCAGGCGATTCCGGTGGCGAATTAGATGTAGAACCGCCTCGTGACGTCGCTTCCGCAATAGCGGAGGCAACTGGCACTTTAGTCTCAAGTAGACAACCTGCGGGGACCCAGCCCTGCTTGCTCGTGTCAGGCTCAATCGTTCCGGCGCCTGCCGGGTCTCTTTGCACGACCCACCAGCCACGAGATCTGGAGAGAATGATGAATGTATCGCCGCTACATGTGAAATGTTAGCTGGCCTTAAGAGGTCACTACGGAAGGCACTTACACAACGACGTCGAACTCATCCTCCTGCTCTGCCATATACGGGTAGATCGCAACTGCATACGATACGCCCGTCGACGGTGGGATTTCTCTCAAAACTGTAGGGGCAGACATAGTGTCCGGACCGTCTGTCACACTTGACCCATTCCCGTTGTGAGACTTGCTGTTCTCTACCAAACCAACCTCTTCGATACGGTCCTTGCTTTCCACCGCAGGCGACATCAATTCCGGCCACCCTGACTGCGCGCTCGACACGCCCGTCATGAGTCCAGATGCCACATTTAATTGGCTGTTGACCTGAAGCTTTGGTGGACGAGCACTGATGTCCTTCCCTCCCTGGGAATGTCCCTGACTACGCAATTGAGCCGAGGACAGAGGTGGCGACCTGGTAGACGATTCCGATGATGCCCTGCGCGCAGCCTGCTTCTGCTGCGCGACAGCAATAGGTGAACGGATGTCCTTGATGTGTTTAAGCATAAAGACGGGGTTCTTTTTGGCGTCTTTGAGTTTCTGGAACAGCAACAATGGCTTCTCGTCGTAGCTGAGGCATCTCTCAATGCGATTGCCTGAGAGTGCCATTATAAAAGGTTGAGGCTATGTAATGAATGAGCCGAACTTACCCGAGGTTCCATAGCAGATGAACATGGCATAGTTTTGCCAGTCGTCGTTGTTGATCTTGTACTTCTTCAAGGCGGCCGGAAGCACTTTCCATGCTGGGTCTTCTAAGCTTACTTTGAAGCTCTTCAGGTTGTCAGAGCTGTCATGTCTCACCGGCTTGGGAGGCTGTGAACTACTAGACCCAGCGTCGGAACGCGACATCGATGCTGGATCATTGGAACTAGACATAGCATGAGATCTTGATCGGTCCGACGTCGAAGGGTTGCGGCCGACATTAGAATTGATGTCATGTTCGAGACGTTGCGGAGACGGCTGTGGTGATTCCGCAGGCTCGGGAGCCGGTTTCGTGGGCGAACGAACAGGCTTCACGAAGGACGCCCATTTAAAGGAATGTTGGCGTACAGGACTTTCTGTCTCGCTCTATAAAACGTCAAACCTTCTGTGAAGGGGAGTAACCTGCGGATATGCGTACCTGCGGTCGCAATAATGTGCTACTTCGGATGCTGCTGACATCGTCAAGGCAAGAGTCCAGACTCTCGCTGAGGCGCCGATTGTCTTCCTCTAGAGATTTCAATCTCTCGCCTACGGCGCGAGGTCAGTTGAGATATGAGAGGTAGCGGTGAACACGCACTTTGCTCCCGGAGCAGATTGTACAGTCTATCTACGTTCAGCTGGCCCTTCCGCTCTTCAACTTCGGCTGTTGAACATGAGGGTTACTCAAAGCAACGGAGAGTACGCATTATTCTCACAAGGCGGAACGTAGTGGTCGGACTCAATAGGAATGCCTTGCGCAAGCTTGATATTGTAGACTCCTTTGAGAATTGAGAGTCGTTGGCCGATGGTTGCAATTCCCATTTCCTTGAGACCTTCTGCATCAAGAAGACACAAAACGTCGCCAGTTATCCTATGCTCTATTGGAGCCGTCGTGAACAGATGCAGTATCAATCAACTGAACTACACACCTCGAACCTGGCTTTCGTATTGAGGAAAGCCGAGCTTTGCGAGATATGCGTGCACATCGCCCTCGTCCCATTCGAGTATACTCGTCCGCAGCTCGCCTGAGGAGGCATCCATGTCGGGGAGAGTGATGAGAGAACAGTGAAGGTGCAACGGCGCTGCCGCTCGGAGGATCAGGTTGCGGGCCCCCGGTTCGGAGCTTAGCGGTGGCTGGGGTCTGACTTGGCGACGGCGAACTTGAATCCAAGTTCAGTTCTCCGTGCGGGGTTGATGCTCGTCGACGGCTGAGTTGAGTGGGCAAGTGCGAGGAGAAGACGTGAAAGAGCCAGAAGCGTAGGCGGCCGTGGCGGTCAACTTGCAAGTATTGCAGTCCAAGCGCATTTCAACCATGCGGAGTTCTAAAATTCCTTCTCAGACATCCCGTTTGGACACTTTTTCGTGTCACCTATCGCGGATATCTCCCTCCATGTCACGTTCTGTGACTTCTCTCTTCGCAGCAGTCGGGTCCAGCGTCACGGGGCCACTCTGCCCGATATTCGTCCTCCCCTCGTCGCTGCTGTTCGCGTCGGCGCATGGCTCTTGCTGATGGATGATTTATATACTAACGCTTGGGGTGACCCCGCAGAGGCTCTTCCAGCACTGAAGTTATCCACTAGCTCAGCCTCGTCCTGGCGTTCTCCCAAGCCTAATCCTCCTGAAGACGAAGCCGATCTTGCAGCACCCTCTTGGTCGACTGGCGCGGAGATCAAATGGGATGAACCTTCCGAGGGTGCTGGCTTTTCCTGGACTCAGACAGACCCCGACCTTGCTTGGAGCACAAGTACGGTCCAGGATATTCAGCTCGGGAAACCCGCGGATACCCCACAGACAGAAGAAGAAGAAGATGAAGTATTAGGAGTCTTACCTGCACCGTCTCTTTATGCTGCTGAAATTGAAGTTGTGAAGGAGGAATATTTCCCGTCTACTTTGCCCGTGGAAGAAGAGGTCCTGGCTACTGCTGCGCTGTCCCCGGTGTTTGCGCCTCCCTCGCCTACGCCTGATCAAGACGGTTTCGGCACGTTCGAGTCAGCAGTCAGTCCAAACGCAAACACCCCAATATCTGTGGAACACAGCGAGCATCACGTGGATGAGTGGGGAGCAGCATGGGCAAGCGCACCGCCTGCTGCTCAAGACGAGCCTGAAGATGAGTGGGAGACAGCGACACGACAGAAAGCCCAGCAAGACCGCAGAGTTGTGAGTCAGTGCCGGACATCGTTCGTGCAAGAATTGAGATTCACTATGCTATGCTGCTTTAGCCTCCCGAAGTCCTGAAATCTATAGTTAATGAATGTGAACAATTTGCTCGTGTTGTCTGGCCCGAAGCAACACCCGAAGCAAATGGTGAAGCGAATGGGTGGAAGAACAGCTGGCGAGGCGGTCTTGAGGATGTTGAAGGTCTGTGAGTAATATTGTCGTTGGCAGTTCCGTGTCCTTGTTGAGTTGTCGCACATGAATCAGCGACTCATTTTTACAGACGTTCCTCCCATCTCTATCCCTTCAGCCGCCGGCGAAGTTTGGTGAAACCGCTATTGCCAAAGGCATGGCAACATCTGTTCGTCTGACGAGGAATCTTTCTATCACGAGCAGTAGTCCGATGTCGCATTATCTTGCAGCGAAGGGCTCTACTGCGTGGGAGGTGGCAGTAAAGGAACGCAAGGAAGTTGTGGAGGATGATGTGCCTGTCGGATGGCGGATCTTGGAGAAGGAACTTGCTGTCGGAGCATCTGACAGTGCCGCTGACGCTAACAAGAATAAAAGGTCTTCCAGTCGCCTCTTCTCGTTTTGGGGTCGGAAGGAACCCACGATATCGTCACACACTCGGTCATCGTCGCTTAAAGATGTCGTTGATCCATCCCTATCTGAGGTTCAGAGCCCGAATGGTTTGGTAGAGGTGAGCGCTAGCACACACTCGAGGCAGGCGAGCCAGGAGAGCGGTCGCTCGCCTACAAGAGCGAGTGTTGACAAGGATGCATCTCCTGTAAACGCCTCGCTTTCTCCAGTGCCCGTCCAGTCTACAGTGTCTGCTCCCACCACTGTTTCGCCACCACCACAAATGTCTTCGTATTCAACCGCTGAGGTCATTGATACACCTTCTCTACCGGCGCCTTCAGCTGTATCGCGTTTCTTGAACAGATTTTCCCGAAATAAAGGACCACCAGGTGCTAGCAGTGCGCGGAGCTCGCTCGCACTTACATCTGACGATCTCGAATTTCTCTCGGATCTGGTCCCAAGCGCAAGCGATGACGGAGATGATGACCATGTTGACCATTTGAAGGCTCTGACCAGTGTAGTGAAGCCACAGTCGCTGCCTCCGATCCTGCCTCCGCCTCCATCGGTGGTCTCTCAAAATGCCCGGGCTCCCAGCAGTGTCGGTAGTGCGGCTCAATCCGCTGTAGACAGCTTAGACTCCTTGTTCGACACCCCGAATGATTTTTTGAATCCTAGTGCCGAGAGATCTACATCTTCTCTCAATGTGGTATCTCTTCAGTCCACGTTGGACGCGCCGATCTTGCAGCCATCGAGGCCGACCACCACTGCTGGGGCGATCGCGGGTTCATCGAAGTGGGATGCTAGGCCGTCCAGTCCCTCTCCATTGGCCATAGATGCCACGAAGTCGACTCCGCAGTCATTCTTTTTGCCTTCACCACCCTCTTCTCGCTCGCAAACACCCTTTAATGTCGCGTCTCAGCCTGCTTTTGCTGCACCACAACCTGTAGGTTTTATATCTAGCATGGACAAGACGAGCCGTGGTGATGGGTCGTCATCACGAATTAAAGCGCCTCCATCGTTTCCGCCTCCGCGCTCGTCGGCGACAAGCCCAGTTGTCACACCCCCGCAACAATCACCTAGTACGCCTACTTCTTCTATGCCACTCGCGCAACTGTACCCGAATGCGCATAAAGCAAATATGGCTGCTAGTTCTGCCGCCGCAATGAAGGCGGTGAAAACCTTCTCCCTGCCTCCGCCCCCTTCTTTCCGACCACAGAGCTCAAACGCCCTCCCTCCCCCACTGGCTCCACCGCCGTCTGTGTCCGTGCGAAATTTGGATGCTCGGAGACCTCCTTCACTACCATTAAGTTCATTCGACGATGATGACGAATTCTCTGATTTCATGTCCTCAGCTACGATGCCACCCAATTCGACACATTCCTCAGTACCCAGCACAGCATCACCCACCACCAACAGCCCCTTCTTATTGAAATCTCCTACAACGCAACCATTGAAGGCGCCGCAGTACCACCCCCCCAAGCGCAAGCCATTCAACAACTTCTCTGATATCTACTCTTCGTCTGCCATATTGCGAGACTCAAAGGCTCCCTCTAACTTCGATTCATCGTCACCCTCAGACTTCCAATCGCCCACCTCAGCCACCCTCTTCCAGTCTGATTCTGACTCATCATTCCAATCTCACTCACATGACGATAGTTTCTCCTCAGAAAAGTCCTTCCTCACGTCCGGCCAGTCGTCGTTTGGTTTCGACGACAATGCAATCTCGCCCGCTCTGCGCACGCCCTCTCCTCCTCGTCCACCGTCAAAGAAGCGTATACCTCTTGTGCCTTTCTCATTGTCGAAGCCCACTGGATCCGAATTACTGCAGACAGATGCGAGCTCTAACTCGCGTCTCGACAAGGCTGCATCACATCTACACACACTCAACTTAATGGAACGGGCCGCTGCGCATCCAGGTCGGTGGCCAGCGCCCCCATCTCCTGGCTTGCCGGGTCCCATACCGGGGCCGAGTTCAGCCGTGAGTTTGCCACAGATAGACCTTTTGGGTGATGGGTCGCCCAAGAGGCCGAGTGGAGATCTCCTATCTTCCTCACAGTCGTCTCCCGCATTACTGAACCCAGTTCGCGCCACATCATCTCTATCAGGCCTGGGCATTAGCGCGACTCCGAAGCCGCCCTCTATGCTGTCTCATTCGCAGTCGGCGCAGGGCACTGTCTCCGACTTCCAGCTCTTTGGATCGCCGATGGGTGGCACCAGCCAGTCGAGTTTGCAGCCTGTGCGGCCTTCGAGTACGGCGCCCGTCCCGTCGAATACACAGCCCGCAGCGAAGACCGGGGGATTGTCCGCACAAGATCTGCTATTCTTTGAGGGACTGTAGACACTTTCATGGATTTTGCATTGCAGTCGCTGTATTATGTTGTATGATGGTACTGTAATATCACCTCATTAATGATGACGATGATGACCACTTGAAATGTCCGCGACCGCCAAGGACCTCTGCAAATTAGACAGGTTCCAAATTCCCCTCTCTCAAATCGTAGGTGCTTGGCTATGATGTCGTGCAATGCGCGTAGTGATAGTGAAAGGGTTTATAGCTTGCATCATTAAACGGTGCTAGTGATGGTCGCAAACAAGCCGTGCATTTGAGCCGATGTGAACCCTCGGAATATGCAAGTCGCTTGTCAGAACATGTCCAAGCTAGATGCTCAGGTCGTGGCGACGTGACATCTGGCTTGATAGACGACAAGAGAAGGTGCACGTTGTTGTATCTTAACCTAAGCGATGCAAGACAACGCGGCGAGCCTTCAGAACAACAGAAACAACTGCGCTAGCGTTGTCAAGGGACGAGCAACGAGACCTACCGTCTATTATGGCAGATCCGCAGACCATGGGCGCAGCATGTTGGCACGATTTGGATACAACAGATTTTCGTGTTCCAAGAGTGTCTACGGAGTAAACGAGACGAGCGCGCAATACACCATCCCGGTGAAATGGCTAGTTTCGCCAAGACGACCCACGCGCCGCGCAGAGACACCATGATGAAATGGCCAGTTTCATTATAATGTCTCCGTCGAGCACATTGGGATGTCACGATAAAGTGGCCAGTTTTATCGTGACATCTCAACGCGCCCCTCTTCCGCCTACCGTACGACATATACGCCATGATGCGAAAAAAAAAAAAAGAAAGATGAAGCGAGGAGAGGTGCTGGATGATGCGTCGCAGATGTATGAATAAGGAATGTGGCGTCGAAGGCATAAGGATGATTGAGATGATGTAAGACTGAATGAATGGATACGGTGCCGGATCTGAATTGAGGTGATTGAAAATACGAGGTGCGGTAGGAGGAGATGGGGAAAGATAATTCAGAATAAACGTCGGAAGAAGCCCCTGACCGCGCTTAGAGGCTTGTCTTTCTGGGAACTTCGAAATGGAGAAACCTTGGGGGGAGAGAAGGCCGACAGGCCCGTACGCGTGGACGGAGCTGAAGTGCCCGAGAAATAACTCGCGTCCGCGCTGTAGAACGAAGACGTAGACGCAGATATTGCGGGTGTCCCCCGCAGAGAATTGAACGAGGAGTTGGTAGACTTCTTCGCGGAGGCCTCAGAATTGTGTGGGTTTCGCTTCAGCAGACGTGTCCAGAAACCCGCTTGCCGGCTTTCAGGTGCCTGAACACGCTGCCGAGGGGGAGTGCTATGGCACCCGGAGGCGCTGCGAGCATTGAACCCCTTGGAGTCTCCAATAATAAACTCGGGCGCTTCCTGGGTGTTGCGACACACGTCAGAGCCGTTTTGAGGGTCAATGAATGAGACTTACGATAGGGAAATACACGAAGGACAATCCATGATTGACTCCAGCAGATGCCTCTTCAAAGACCAATGATAGTCGCTGGGGCTGCGGGACGGGTACTGGGGCTGGCACGGGCTGTTCCATTTCTTCCTCTTCTTCCTCTTCTTCCTCGAGATTGACAATCTCGCGACCTTTGCCCTTCTCTGCCGCCGTGAGCCGTGGACTGTCATCGACAATATCTTCCTCTAGGATTAATGCGTCCAGAACATGCATAGCGTCAAACGAGGCCTCCTGTGGGCAGTCGTCGTAATTAGCGGAAGAGGCGGGGCATAATTCGTCTGTGAAATCTGATGAATCCGACGATGTGACGCCAAATTCGGCGGTACCTTCCATCGCAGAAAAGTCGGGGGTGGTCTTGATGTCATGAGCGGTAAGAACGTGCAACGCATCGAGCTTCTTGTCCGTGGTATCGCAAGTAGCGAAAAGCGTCTCGTGGCTTTCGAACGAGTGGGTATTCAGGAGTGGGAAGTGGGTGCGAGCATCTTTGTAACAGGGAGAAGAAGTGGGGGATCCACGACTTCGGGAGGCAGACGCTGGATTCAGCGTATGCAATGTCGATTGGTACTGGAGGACAGCCTCGAAAAAGGCTGCGTCTTCGTCCTCCTCCTCATCGGATTCTACTGTATATGCTAAGCGCACGAGCGGCGGCATCTCGAATGTTGCATTCGTGACGCTTTGCTTCGTGCCAGCCGTCTTGGCAGCCTTCGATAGATGCCTCCTCGAGTAGATCTCTACCGGCGATTGGATGGTAGGCGGTTTCGAATAACGGCGCACTTCGACTCTCGAGGTGTCGGCTAAGGCAACATCAACGTGAATGGGAGAGAAATTGACAATTTATAAAGGTCTCACAGGTGCAACTCTCGTCGTCACTGTCGTCCGTGACTGCATAGGCATAATTCTCGTCTTCTCCTTCAGCCTCATAGTCGTAACTGTCGTCGTCATCGTCGTCGTCAAATTCATCTTCGTCGATACCCAAAAACAATCGACTGAATCAAAGGAGCCATGTAAGCGGCGGTGACTCATCGAGGAAGAGAAGCTCCTACCCGAGCGATGCCATGTCTTCATCTTCCTTCACGACAACAGCTTCAAGTGCGTCGTCGACGGCGCACAATTCGACGCTGCTCTCCGTGACCACTCTGGCGGCTTCGACCTCATGCAGTGTTTCCCCCTCGCCGAGGCCCAAAGCGGCAATGAGCGCAGCCATCTTCGAGGTATCCTCCGCAGGGGCCACGCAAGGCTGGACGTCTTGCCAAACCGCATCCTCGACGGGTTTATCGAGCGCCTCCTCAAGCAACCTCAGAAGGTCGCCAAAAGCCCCTTGGTGGATGTCCCCAGGCGACTGATCCAGCGACTCCACCGAGTCCGCGTCCGGAACGCTGGGTTCGCTGGAAAGTATGCGCCTGTGGGCCGCGAGAGCCAAAGTAAGCGGACGCACAATATACGGCGGCAAGAAAAACGCACTGAAGTGCGGACACATCCTCTTCGTCCTCCGCGACCACCTCATCCCCTGGCTGCTCTTCATTGTGCAAGTCCGCTGGAACAGCGAGCTCGCGTTCTTCAATTTCTTCCTCGATGCACTCACCAATCTCCGCGAGAACTTCAAGAGCGTTCTTGAAGACCACGGAAGGACGGATAGGAACTATCCCATCCGAAAGCGAAGCGCCGTTTCTCATTGAGAGGGGCCTGACAGCCCGCTCTTGGGCGCGCGTTCTTGCCTTGACGGGCGAGACGCTCCTGGAAGTCTTCGCAGGAGACGTACGGGCGACCGTGTCGAGGTACCCCCACTCCGGTACAGTCAAATACGACGACTGAGGGAGAGTGGGGATCATCTCCATAATATCCTTCTTCGATTCGTTCTCTTCTTTCTCGCCGGCGGGGACCTCGACGCCCGGGGGAGATCTATCTGCCTCCTCGGGCCTGCCGTGGCATATCGTCAGCCGTCAGCGGAGAGCACAGAGGAGTCCAGACCCCGAACGCACCTCGCAGCTCCCGCCTCGTCCTTTCCTACATATTCTTTGATCACGTCCTGAGCCGGCGTTTGCGCGGCGTCGACCACGTCCTGATCCAGCGTTTGCGCGGCGTCGATCACGACCTGATCCAGCGTCTGCGCGGCGTCGACCACGACCGCCTCCCGCGTCGCCTGTGTCAGCGAGACGATCAGGCACGCGTCCTGTCCCACGGCGAGCTCCTGGACGTCTCGCGCAGGCGCAGGAAGATCAGGAGAGGCGACAGCGGTGGGGGCAGCAACGACCGTTAGTGCACGCCCACGGGTCTTCACCTTGGGTGCTTTCGGCGCAGCGTCTGTGGTACGGGCGGCAGACGCCCGAGTCGGGCGCGCCCACGACGGGACGTTCTCCTTTCCGGCGGTCGGCGGAGGCGTCGGCGACTTGCGGCTGGGGGCGGCGGTGCCAGGTGCCCTGGGGCCGAAGGGAAGCGCCGTCTCCGAAGGCGTCGAGAGCGACAGCCTCCTGCCGGACGTCTTCACGAACGATCTTGAAGCGGCGGAGGCTGACGAGGACGCGCACGACGCGTCAGAGCCGGCGTCGGACGTGCGTGGGGGAGCAGGGAGCGAGTCACCGGAGGCGACGTTGGGGTGCGCGGGTGAGGGCGCTCCGGCTGGAGGTTCAGAGCCCGAGAGGGGACGGCGGGCGGGGAACACCTGCGCGGCCGCCTTCGGGACAGAGGCGGGGGCTCGAGCGGGTGTCGTGGACTTCTTGAGCAAGTTGGAGCCTGGTTCCTGCTTGACTGGGACTCCGGCTCGAGACATTGCGCGAAGGGCAGGACGCGAGACGAGGTGGATGGTGCTGTCGGTTTGCATCTTGCTTGCTGGGGCAAGTGACGGTTGACAACAAGGAGGGATGGCCCCAGACGGCGCGTTCATATACCGCAGACATCCTCTGTCGGCCTCTCGTTTGAGCTGCAATGTCTGCGGTCATCCAACGATGGAAATCTGCGGTGGAAAGGATTAGTACTGATCCTGACCGGTGAATGCGCTGCTATGCTGTCAGCATAGGAGGGTGACTGATAGGGAGAACGCAATTTTCTCCGCTGCCGGCAGCCTGTGCAAACGTACATACGCACCTCAACGTTGTCCCCGATGCGGGTGCATCAAAAATAGGCAGATATTGTCACTAGCACTACGTGCATTCGCCTGTAGAAATAAAATGATATCAGATGAAAACCACCTGTCGAGTATTCGATGCGACATCCTCCCGATTCCGAGGCTGACTCGAAGACCGTCGCAGCGTCGCGATCCAAGCGGCGGCGGGCGCCTCGCGACCAGCCCATCGTCGCAGTCGCCGCGACCCGGCACGAAACGCGGGCACGTGACCAACGCGCGCCTCGAAATCGAACATGGGCCGTTGCCCGCTCGCTTGCACCTCGACCGCAACGGTATACTAACCGTCTTCCCCTCCTTCGCCACACTACACCCTGGATACCTACTAACCGCACAATTATGGGCCTGACGGCCGCAAGCCGCAATTTCTACGACATCCTCGGCGTCGCGCAAGGCGCGTCGGCCGATGCAGGTGCGCGCGTCCCCCTCCCGGAGCACGATGGCCCTCTCTGTTCGGTTCTGATCAGGAAATTGCAGTGCGCAAGGCGTACAAGTTAAAAGCACTAGAAACCCACCCCGGTGAGTGGACACGAGCTGCGCAGACGGGCACGAGAGGCTGAGTCGTCGAGCATCTGCGCAGATAAACTGCCGCAGGGCGTGAGGGAGGCCGAACGAGAGGCCGCAGAGGCGCGCTTCAGAGATGTCGGGCACTCCTGTTTTGATTCTCTCGCCTGCGGGCCCGCTGACGATGTTGTGTGCACGTGTAGGTCCGGGCTGCCTTTGAGGTCCTGAGCGACCCCGCAAAACGACGCGTACGTCCCTCCTCGCTGTGATGGTGCCGACGCGCGCGGTGGCTGACGGGCCGCGGCCGAGCACAGGCGTACGACAATGGGCTCGAGTACATGCGCAAGCACGTCGACCTTTCCGAGATGCAGACGAAGCTGGCGCGCGACCGCAACGAGTGGGCGCGGCAGGCAGAGCTGCGTCATCAGGAGCGGATGCGGGTGCTGCGTGAGGAGATGCGGGCGAGTCAGAGGCGGTATCAAGACACCATGGCGAAGGCCGAGCTGCGATACCAAGAGAGGATGCGGAGCATGGAAGAGGAGCTGCGACAGAAGAGGGAGGCAGAGCGGCAGGCAGAGGGAAACATTGGCGAGACCTACGACTTGGGAGACGAGATGCTGAGGGAGCTGCGGAGGATGAATCCGGAATGGGAGATGAGACGACAAGAGGTCTTGCGCGTGAGTGGCTCTAGCTGGTCGCTGTGTTGCAGCCGCTCACCCAGTTCGTTTTCAGAGACAGGCAGAGAGGCTACGAAAGAAAGAGAGATTCCCCGTTAAGGTGTAAGAGCCACACATGTTGTATCAGGACATGTTGTACCTGTATTGCGCTACCTTTCTGGCTTAGATTTTATTCCGATATTTAAAGGACACTCCAAGGCGCATCTGATATTTGACTGGCTTGAACGGCGCTCTGCCAAATCAACCAATCTGACATTGTGCAGTATGCTGGACGAACGCTGTCGGGTCCGGACCCACTCACTCCGCACCCAGCGCTCTGAGACGACTTTTCGCTATCCGGCCTACGTCCACCACCGCTCTGTCCAGCTCGCGCCTCCATTCCTGACCGCCGACGTCGACGGATGCGACGGTGCGGAGCGGCGGCTGGTCCGGACTCAAAGACGGCTCGAGGCCCAGCGCGCCCTCCATCTCGGCCATGACGGCCGCCCTCGTCCGTCCGTTCACGAACGTGATGTAGCGGAGACCCGGGTAGCGGCGCTCGTAGCACGCGTTCAGGTGCGCGAGGCGGGCGAGGACGTCTGGTGGCGTCGCCGCGGCGGCCTGCTCGTTGGCGCTGAGGCGCGAGAGGCCGCTGACCTCGCCGATGCGCGGGTGACCGGCGACGAAGCGGGCCCTGAGGTCGTCCGGCCAGGTGGCTATGGTTGCGAGGGACGCGTCGATGAGAGCCGAGTATGTGCGGATCGGCTGGGGGGAGGACGGGATGTACGCGACGAGTCCGGGGACGAGGTGGGAGAAGAGGACGGGCGAGGGTTCGAAGAGGACGGCGAGGGCGTTTGCGAGAAGCTCGTCGCTGGCGAGGGCGTCGTGGATTGCGGGCAATGCGGACATCGTGGTCGGTGTGCAGGGTGGAAAGCTCATGGCAGGCGCGCCGTGCTCGCGTTCCGGCATTATGTAAGCATCGCATTCAAACCCGCTCCGCCGTCGGGGCATTGTCTCGGTACCAGCTATAAATTATAGCGGGCGATCCATGTGGCATTTTTATCATGCCAGTCTCGATTCTGGCGAACTGTCATGTGGGCTGCCCTCCGATGCAGAGGATATATACCGCTATCGCCCCGATAAAAAAATTTGAAACTGTCCTGAGCAGGTATGCGCAGAACGACGAAAGATGAGCGAAGCCGGGGATGAAAGCGACGCGCGCCGACAGATACTCTTTCCCCATGATCCGATTCTAATGTCACATTTATTGCATGCCAACGCAAGTCCCGACAGCGCTCTGGAACGATGAAAGAAAGTCAACACAGAAAGTCTCTACACATCTGTCTTTACGACAGATCGGTGCAGGGAAAGGTTCTAGTGTCCAAATTTCGCCTGGTGCCGAGCGAGAGCGTCCTGTCTGACCAAAACCCGCCCACAGCCCTTGCATACTACCTCCGTCATACGGAGGTGCACGGTGCGGATGTGCTTCATAAAACTCCCCCTCTTCACCTTTCTCTTGCATTGTCCCCACCGGCACACCAGCTGCTGCCTCGCGTCGCGGTCTTCGTTATTCGCGCGGTAGTCCGCGGCATGGTGCTCCTCAAAGTGGCGGCGGACGCTGCTCGCCGAAGCGTCGTCGAGCCGCGCATTGCACCCGGCCCATTCGCAGATCTTCGTTGCCAAAACACGCTCGCCTTGGGATTGAGAGCTCTGCAAGCGACGCGCGGGCTCGAGCACGTCCACGGCGCATCCTGGGGGGGAGCTTCCGCAAATGCCGGAATGCCCGTGATTATAGGTACCGGTAAGCATGCCTCTGTCCAACATCTCCGTCGTATTGAATGCCGCTTCCACCGCCACATTTTGCCCGCACACAAGTATCTTTGAGGCGTCTCGAGGCACGGTGTGGGCGTCGACGGATGTCTCTAGTGGGCCCGTTTGGGGTACGGGCATGGGGCCTTGGCTGGCGGCCATCGACATTTCACTACCCATCGCGTGTGTTGTACGCCTCGGGTCGACAACAGGCGGGTAGACCACACTTTGGATGGACGCGACTGAGGTAGAACCGTCAACCGCAAGTGCCGGAGCACGTATAGCATTGCTGGGTGAGGCGACAGGGACAAGAGTTGTGCTCCATTCCGAGGTGTAGGGAGCGGGTTCCGTCGTGTTCGTCTGCGATGGGCCTGCTCCCGTGTCTACAAGGCACAGAACGTGCACCCCGGCTGTGAAGAGCTCTGTTGCATCTTGGAGTGATACTAGACGGTAGCCAGGAAACATGTCTGCGCTGGATTGTCTGATGCACGGGAGCGTCGTGAGACCGCAGATTAAACTGAAAAGTCACAATATCACACACCTTGAAACATGTACCGAGCGTCTGGCACCGAGGTGCACCGGATCGAAGGTATACAGGTGTTCATCATAGCTCGTACCGACGTTGTCATTCAGACGTGTCAAGCTGATGCCAGGTGCACCATTGATCTCGTTGAGGAAATTCGCATAGGTGCGAGCACTGTTCTCGTAAAGTCTTTGCTGCCCAGAGAATGGGCGTTGGAAACGGCACGAGCAGCGCTGCGCAGAATCAGCATCAGTGAATGAACTATGCGGTATTCATAGAACCCTAAGAAACATTGCGAATCATCGTGACCTGGGACAGCAAAGTCGATCGAGTACACGTTGAAAACTATGCTTCCCCTCGATCCACGCGTATAGGCGCGAATGCAAACACGTACATAGCTCTCTCTGTGGTGTCCGATGGGATGTTCAGGCTGTCTTGCGCAAAGAACAACGAATCAAATTCACTGTACGGGGCGGAAGCAAGGGTCCAAGTCGTCAGTGCTCACTCAGCACGCACGAACAATGAAAAGCGTACCCAGGTCGATCCTCCCCGTTCATCCACCAAGTCGTGTTATTGGTAGCGGATGTATGGGAATACGGTGTCATGACGGGACGCAGGACGTCTGAGGCTAAGAGGTGGCGGAAGGTCTTTTATAGGTACAATGTTTTTTGTGCGGCGAATGGGTAGAGGCTTAAACATGACGAACCTTATTCCGCCTGTCGAAAGGTGAGCCGCTGGTAGCCACAAGTGGGCTCCTGGCTCGAGGTGCGCAGCGAGTGGAAGGATTGTGTGAATATAGATGCCTGACATGTGATGTAATTTTCATACCAGTGCACGTACTACATTATGCCGACTGAGTCCAGTCATGTCAACGCATGTCCTCAATCAAAGTGAGCATGATCACTCATGCCATCAAGTTGGAGAATGGAGTATGGGCATGTGAACGGAACGGGAACGGATTTTGGCAGTGGTAAGAAAATAATTTACATGTGTACGTGATACCGCCGGTAGCCAATAGTGAGCGTGTCAGCAGCAGCTGTCAACTTGGGTGCGGCCCGAGTCCAGGCAGTGACAACTACCTGAAAATTTCGTCCATGATAAGTGCAATTGATGAGTGCCGGTCAAGATGAAGTTGTAGTTGAGGAGCGCTTGCCACATCACATCAAATTGCCATGTCTTCTGATAAGCGCTGCAGACACACTTGGCCATTCAACGTTCAACACCCGCGACTGCGGAGTCTGCGAGGCGCACTCCCGTTTTGATCAATTTGATCCCAGTGAATGATGATGGTATGAGGCGAACTGCTTCTCCTTCCCAATTTAGGACATACGCAAAAGAGTGAGTTGTGATGCTTGAACTGCAGCCTTACTGAGCTAGCTTGTGTCGGAGGAATTCGCCCCCCTCCATCCTCTGGCCGAACCAGGTAAGCGGCTGAGAGACCATTTTGCTGACCGGCTAACCGAACACTTCCTGGCGCTTCCTGGCGCCGGACTCACACCCGCACAAGCCGTCCACGGAGTTCAACAGTGGTTCTAGAAGACCTGGACACCAGTTTTTAGGGGCGTCGTGCGAGATCAGTCTGCACGTTATGTGTTCACTGACGGGTCCCGGGGCAGGCCGGCGCATCATCTTTGATGCTGAGATGCTGGCACTAGCCCGGGGCGAGCATGCCGCCTTGGAGTGCGTCCCGGACGACTGTACTCACCTCGTCCTACTGTATGTGCAGACAACGCAGGAGCGCTGTCTAAGATTCTGACTGCGAGATGGGTCCAAGTCAACTAGTATCTATTTTGGCCGCCGCGTCGGTCATCCGGTTCCTCGACAAGAGCAATGGATACCACGTTACCCTGCTATGGGCGCCGTCTCATACGAGTGTAGCGCCCAATGACTCGTTCGTTGATGACTTGG